TTAGTAGAGACGGGGTTTCACCATGTTGACCAGGATGGTCTCGATCTCTTGACCTTGTGATCCACCCGCCTCGGCCTCCCAAAGTGCTGGGATTACAGGCTTGAGCCACCGTGCCCGACATTTTATTTTTTAAAATAGAGTTTCACTCTTTTTGCCCAGGCTGGACTATAGTGGTACAATCCTGGCTCACTGCAACCTCCGGCTCCCGGGTTCAAGTGATTCTCCTGCCTCAGCCTCCTGAATAGGTGGGATTACTGGTACCCACCACCATGCCTGACTAATTTTTTGTTTTTTTTTTTAGTAGAGACAGGAGTTTCATCATGTCGGCCAGGCTGGTCTCAAACTCCTGACCTCAGATGATCACCCACCTCGGCCTCCCAAAATTATGGGATTACAGGAGTGAGCTACCACACCCAGCCCTTATTCTTGAGTTGAATACTAAACAATGGATAAACAGATACAGCTAAATGACAGGGTTGCCAGTGCACTGCCTTACTACTTCCTTTAATGAGCAGTACAGTGGGACAAAACATTCTCTTTTGGCTGACAAACAGCATTTTAATCTAATAGGGTCTGAAACAGAAGTTTAGAGTGACTTACTATGCCAGCAATTGTGGATCAAGGTGTACTCTGAAGAGGCTTTGTTGTAGTTAACCTAATATAAAGTTATTGATAAGTATAATTGTATTAAGCCTCCAGCACTAGGGACACACAGAACAAAGTAAAAGAGAAGATTATAAAAATTTAGACAAGTGAGATGCAAGACAAAAAAAGAAAAGAAAATTAGACCATCAAAGATCGTGACTTACAGGCTGGTCCAAAGTGGGTTACCTCAATTGACTGTTCACAGTCAGTTACAGATCCAACTCCTTGTTCTACTTTCTTCCCCCACTTCTCACTACTGCACTTGACTATCTTAAAGAAAAAAAAAAAAATCATGACTTACAGATTTTTGGATTTCCTTTAATAGGAAACTTCACAACCATTTCCTGAGGATTTTTGCAGATGAAAACAAATGGAGAATCAGATTCTTGACTGATGTCTGGAAACTGTGAAATATAAAAATAAAAAGTTCAGGCTAGTTGGGACAAATTTTGAATTTAAGGAGATCAGAGGATGCCCCAGATTTCACCTCAACATTCTTATGATAGTACTCTTCATTTCACAGGTAAAGAGGATTATGCTCAACAAGCAAGAACAAACCTTCACCTTTCTACAATCCTTAGTACAGCATTATACAGTCTATTGCCTGCCATCTCTGATTTCCTATAGTGAGAACAACTTCATTTAAAAAAAAAAAAAAAAAGGATACCTGAAATCCTCCCAGGAGAATCAGAACTGACTGCTCTTTTAACAGAACCAACCAAGGGTGAGGAGATTCAAAGATCTCCTTAGCGAACATCAGGTACCCCCTAGGTTCAACTCAAGTGAAGCACTGGAAGACTTAAGAAAAATAAAACATCTGTGGAAATTTGCCAGAAACAGTACACATAGCCCTTCTCTTACTAAAGGGAAGGAAGATGATTCATTCTGAAAGGTATGAACATGCAAAAGCTGTTTTGCTGGATGCTTTCCAGATCTACTTCGGGTGAAAAGGTAACTGGTAGAGCAATTCTGAAAATTATTTAGAAACCTTCTTTGGATTTTTTATCATAAAACAAATCTGTGAATGAATAGTTAGGAGTTTTGTTTTGTTTTTGTTTTTTTTTCTGTAAAAACAGACACAGAACCTAGAGTAAGACTATGCTGGCTACATAATCACAATTTAAGAGCAATTGAGGGCTAGTAATAGCTAATTGAGCTGGAATTTCATTATTTCCTATCTTACTATGTCCTACGTTTAGCATGTTCAACAAATATGACTCATAGGCTTCTGGGTCAAACTTCATTACCAGAGGAGCCTTTCTCCTAGTAACTACCATCAAAAGTATGAAATGACCTGTATTTTCAACCCTTATTTGATTGCTAAGATATGCCTTCTAAAGTCTAAGCCACTAAAAGTTTTATTTTAAAAGGTAAGGAAATTCAAATTTCTCTGTAACTAGAAGAATGATTAAACTTCTTTATTGACCACTTTTGTCCTATGTAATAAGTCATGCTGTGGGGAAAACAGAAGGGATTTTTTGCAGCTTCTGGTCCTGCCCACACACTATGGCTTCCCCTGTGGAAGAGGTGTGACATGTACTTTGTTTTTGATTTGTTTTTTCAGAGATGGGGTCTTGCTATGTTGCCCAGGCTGGTCTCAAACTCCTGGACCCAAGTGATCCTCCTGCCTCAACTTCCCAAAGTTCTGGGATTATAGGAGAGAGCCACCACACCCAGCCTATAAAACAAACTTAATAGTATCAGCCACAATCATATTAATAGGCAGGGTCAAAATATTCATGGTAGAAAAGTAAGGTTAAGGATACAAGGGTAAAGCCTCTTTTTTCTTATCCCTTTTATCTTCAGAAGCCAAAGAACAGCCGGGCCCAGCTGTTATTGCTGGGTATTAGAAGGAAACAAGCTCTGCACAAGATCCATGCTGGGGTGCTTAGGCACAAATAAAACCAGAGGCTGCCGTCAATATATCTAAACCTAATTCTACAGAGACCAGAGCAGCAACAGTTATAATTACCATCGCTTTAATTTTCCTCTTTTTCCTTATCTGTGGCTTACAGACCCTTGAGACAAAGGACAATCACAGCTCTGCTATTCTAACACCACAAACCATTTCAGCCAATCTCTCCTCTTTCTTCCATATCAATAATTTTTGCCTCTCTACTGGATCAATCCTATTAACCCACATTCTCCAATGTCTGGCATGAAATAAAATCTCTTAGGCCGGGCGCGGTGGCTCAAGCCTGTAATCCCAGCACT